ATGGCATTGGATGGAATGGTTTACAAGTGTCTGGACTGGTTTCTGATGACAAGTTAAGACCTTATTGCTGGAACAAATAGAGGCATTTTTACGTGTCAACAGTGCCAAAAGATAGAAAAGGGAAAGGAGCGTTAATCATTGCTGGGTGTGAGGTGTCAAAGCCCTGACAAGAAAAAGTGTTGGCTCTCGAGCAGTAAGAAGAATACTGGCAACAGTACAGGTTTGAAAAGGAAGTTTCATTAGATAGATAGAATGCTGCAGAAGGATGCAGCAGAGCACTTCAGCAAGAGAGGACTGAGCTCGCCACAGTGGAGTTTTCCTTAGGAGTATTTACAGACCTTTGAGCAGGAGCTTAAGGGTAATTTGGACCATATTAGCCATGTAGGTAATGATAAATGATTATATTTGTAGACATTTTGGTGCCTTGATGTTAGCAAGGGTTGCACAATGAGTTTTGACATGCATGCATTTGGAAATGTGTAGAAATTCTAGTTACTTACAAATTTGGGGAAAGAAGCCTGGTATCAGATGCCAGGTTTTGATATTGGGGAAGTCAATTACTTCTAAATTCCTCAGGTAAGGAGTTTTGCCTGCAGATGGTCTGCTTGATGGCCACCAGGTGATCTTTGCTCTTCTCATTTTCCCCCTGGCAGATATTTTGGTCAAATCTTTGACCCTTTCTATTCCCCCATGACCCTGTGTACCTGCTGCCTATTATGGCTTCAAGAAAGGGAAAATGGCACAGTGAAGAAGGGTGTCAGGTCTGTCTGGCTACTTCCTGCTGAAAGGGAGCATTGAGGGGATGTCACGTTTTTCCCTTTCTTGCTCTCTGTCATGAAGGGTTATGAAAAACTTGTTTTGGGGACAGGAGACACCAGATTCCATCAAGAGGCCCCATATAAGTGGAAGTTGCTGTTGCAGGCTGGTATTGGGATTACATAATCATCTGTAGGTGGAATCATTGTAATCTGGAAGATAGAAACTTAATGAGAGCATTAAAGAAGCAGGGACCAAATATTAGAAGAAGAATAATGAGGAATAAAGGTCCAAGGAATGGGAGAAGCCAGGTGATTTTTGGAAACCAATTAGTAAGGATTTTGGCCCAGTTTGGGTTACTTTGAGAAAGTGTGTGTAGCCATTTGGTTTGTTTGAAAATCTCTCGGATGTTAGTTTCCACTTCTCCAGACATATTAATGTAGGTGCAACACATTTTGTTGATGACAGCACAGATGACTCCTTGTTCAGATAGGAGGTAATCTAGCACTCTTCTGTTATCAAAAACCATTCCTACTAGTGAGGTTAAAGACTTTTCTAGTAGTGATAGATTTGTGCTAGTTTTTGCTAAGCTATTTTGAGGGAGGCAGTAAGTTCCCGCAGTGTGATTTCATGATAAGTACAACCTCCCCAAGGGATGAGAGTTGTGATGATTCCAACAACTCCAGCAATAAGTCCTAGGACCCTTTTTCTTCCTGAATGGGATTCTAGATTGGAAGTTATGTTTAAGACAGTGATTTGGGCAGGAGCTATTGTACCCAGAGTACAGTCATCATAATGAAGAGAATTATCAAGGTGGGATAGGGCCAAAGCTTGAAAAGGATTTAAATAATTAATAGCAGTGCCACAAAACCATAAGAATCCAGGAGGGGCAGATAATACATTTTTGAGGCTTCTTGGACTAAGAGGGCCACCACTGCTAAGGCTCTTAAGCCTAAGGCTCTTAAGCCATCCCTGGGATACTAGGTCTAAAGTTTTTTTAAAAATATGCCATAGGGGCAGGCATGGTGGCTCACACCTGTAATCCCAACACTTTGGGAGGCCAAGGCAGGCAGATCATGAGGTCAGGAGTTCGAGACCAGCCTGGCCAACATGGTGAAACCGTGTCTCTACTTAAAATACAAAAATTAACTGGGCGTGGTGGTGCGCACCTGTAATCCCAGCTACTCAGGAGGCTGAGGCAGGAGAATCACGTGAACCTGGGAAGCAGAGGTTGCAGTGATCCAAGATCACGCCATTGCACTCCAGCCTGAACAATAGAGTGAGACTCCATCTCAAAGAAAAAAAAAGTGCTATAGGGCACTTAGAGGGCCCCCCAATCTGGGGCTAAGACTCCCAAAGCTATTCCCTTTTGTTCATGTACATACAAAAAAGGCTTAGTCACATCTGGTAGGGCTGAGGTCAGGGCTGAGATTAAAGCCTGTTTGAAAGTGTTTAGAGCATGTTTCATATCATTAGCCCAGAATAGAGGCTGTTCCTCAGTTCCCTTGAGGGCTTCATATAAAGATTTTGCTATTAACCCGAAGGAAGGAATCCATATTCTGCAAAACCAAGCCTTACCCAAAAATGACTGAAGCTGTTGTTTACCACAGTTGTCATGTTTAAGATCTTTATAAGCACTACAAAGGCTTTTTCACTGGGAATTAAAATAAGACCCCAAAATTTAACCCTTTGTGTGGATATTTGTACTTTAGAAGGAGATACTTTGTACCCACAATTAGCAAGTTTGTTTAGTACTAATACTGTATTTTGGTTTGGAATAACCTTGTTAGGACTACAGATTAGTAAGTCATCCACATACTGAAGTAGATTGCTATCTGGGAGAAGCTGCAGAGGCTCTTTTAGTGAAGTGTTAATATAGCTAGAAGGTGGGACCTTAGCTGTAAATTAGATTGTAATTTTGTAAATCACAACCTAATGGAACAGGGCAGCTTGGCTGAAAAGGAGTAGAGGAATAGCCTTTCATTTTACAAGGGAGTGGTGGTGTGAAACAGCCTCATTGGGGTTTTCCATCAATATGCATGAGGAAAATGGAGGAGTGACACATTGGGCCATAGTAAATGTTTAAAGCTGAATAACTGTCCATTGTACCCATGAGTAATATTACCTGTTGTTCAGTCACAGTCAGATTTGCCCTGGGCTCATCCACAGAGATGGAAAAGACAGGGCCATGGATGGCTTCAAAGGCCCCATCCAGAGGATGGATGACTGACATTTCAGAGGCTTGATCATAATCCAGGCATAGAATTAGAGGTACTTGCCCTTGCCCTCACCCTCACCCTTGTTCTACAGGATCCCCTTGTTAGGTTGGTGAGATTGTGGCTGTCATAGCCTAGAAGGAAGAGGTGGCCCCCGTTCACGAGGGAGGGACACTCACTCTTCCAATTTGCAGGGAGGACAGGGTCCCAGGGATGACTTGCAACCTGGAGGTTTGGGACATTCTCAACTTCAGTGTCCTTGATTTCTGCAGTGATGACAGGCTCCCCTTCTGTTAGTGTTATAGGGATGAGCCTTGGGGTTATTGGCTAATGAAAAAGAATGTGCCAATGTTGTCTCAGTATAATTAGCTTGGTGACAGCATTTTTCCTCCTCCAATTGAGCCTTTTTTTTTTTTTTTTATGTTTCCTCCTGGTTATTGAAAACCTTAAAGGCTGCTTTTAATAAAGTACTAAAGGGAGTCTGTGGGCCTTGCTCTGATTTTTGGAGTTTTTGTCTGATGTCTGGGGAAGGCTGACTTATAAAATGTATGGGCAGAAGGGATTGGCCCTCAGGGCTTTCAGGGTCTAAATTTGTATATTTATGCATAGCCTCCATCAGTCTAGCTGGAAAAGGACTGGGTCCTTGGTCCTGAGTGATCTATCATAATTTAGAAAAATTAACAGGTTTTATTACAGTCTTTTTCATTCCTTCCAACAAACATGTTATCATATAATCTTCTCTGCCCCTGTCTCTGTTTGGGCTGGCATTGGCAGCATGGTATTGCCAATTGGGTTCTGTGTTGGGGACAGCTTCTGCCCCGGCTCTATTATTAGGATTGCCAACATGAGCTTCATCTGCCCAAACTCGAGCTAAAGACCATGATTTTTCTTCGTGGGAACAGTAAATAGTTAATACCACAAATGTGTCTTGCCAGGTTAACTCAAAGGCAATAAAGCCCGAAATTCTTGAATGAACTTAAGAGGGATCCTGGCTAAATGAACCCAACTTGGATTGAATTTGCCAAAGATCAGACAATGGAAAAGGGACATGAACTCAAATTGTTCCCAAATCTCCGTTTTCCACCTTGTGGAGAGGCAAAATATTTGGGGGATTTTCTGAGGACTCTGTACTAGTGGCATATGTAACTCCTGTGCGAGTATGTGAGGGTGATAAAGTATCTGGATGGTAGGGGGCAGGGGTTGATTGGGGCATGGAGCAGATGGCAAGGGGTACACAATGAGTTTTGACATGCGTGCATTATGGAGATGTATAGAAATTCTAGTTACTTTTAAATTTGAAGGGAAGAAGTCTGGTACCAGATGCTGGCTTTAGATAACAGGGAAGTCTAGTTACTTCTAAATTCCTCAGGTAAGGAGTTTCTGCCTCAGGATGGTCTGCTTAATGGCCACCAGGTGATCTTTGCTCGCAATTCTATTTGCTTGATTTCATCTGTGGCAGTTTCTGGGTGCGGGGGTGGGGGGAATCAAAGTTACAGGAACAAAATAAAACCAACAGTAAAACTTTCATGCTGACTGGAGAATGCTTAACGTTTAAAAATAGGTGTTGAATGGGCCAAAGCCAAACAACGCAAGCCGGAAAAGAAATGTTTAAAAGCTGGCTATATTTATACAAGAAAAACCAAAAGAGATAATTAAATGAGACTTTTAAAATTCGGGGCTCTCCACTGAGGCTCGTCCCCGGGCGCCAGCTCCGGGAGTTCGGCAGAGGCTCGTCCCCTGCCAGGGCGCCTGGGGTAAGGGACCGCAGGGCGCATGCGCTTCTTCCAGCAGCCCCTTTCCCCTTCTTCCTCAAGATCCAGGGCGTGCTCGGTTGCCCTTCTCCGTTCCCTGCGGACCCTTGCGTCAGGACCCACCACCTGCCGGCCCATCATTTTCCGAGTCCCTGCGGCCTAGTCGGAGTGCTCGCTCGCGCCTCCTAAAGCTTTCAGCGGAGGGCGCCGAGACCCCTGAGGGCGGCCGGTAAGAAGGCGGAGGGGTGGGGGCCTCAAAGCTCGCGGGGAAGGTGCAGCAGTCACTAGAGTGCTGACGTCAGCTAGAGGCAGGGCACTGCGGAAGGTTGAATCCACGCCCTGGCTGCGCGCAGGCGCTGTAGGGGGAAGGCCTGGCACGCTCCAGCCAACCAGGGCGTCACCTGCAGCCCGTCCCCCTTCCCAGGCTTGCCTCCAGCGCTCTGCCGCCGCCGGAGAGGGGAGGGTGTTGGGGGCAGGTGGAGCCGGGAGGGTCCAGCTGAGAATTCGGGGTTAGGGGATCAGAGAGCACTGCGGCTAGGAGCCCGTCAGAACCTGTCGCCCAGTGGGGCCAGGGCAGGTGGGAGCGCCTGGCCGTGCGTCGCGCGTTGGTTGGCCGGCTGACGCCCCGGTGCGCATGCGCGGCCGAACAACCCTGCGGGCGGAGCGAGTGTCCTCTCTCCTGGTGTACTGGGTGGGAGGTGGAACTGGTCGGACAAAGCCCTCGCGTCGGACCCTTGCCAGAACTGTAAGGAGCAAGAGGGGAGGGACTCCGGTGGTGCATTCATGCCCCTCTCAGGGTGGGAAGCGGGGTCGGAGGGGGGTGCTCAGAGCCACCTTAGCGCAGCGTGCTAACTTTTGAACTGAGGCGGTGCCGGGGGCCGCAGTATCCGCATCGCATCTACATTTTAACTCGTTTTGCAATGAGAACGTAAAGACGATTTAGGTTTTATTGTTTCCGACTTATATTTTACCGAGGTCTTTGGTTTACGGGAAATTGTTACCTACTAAATCTCATATAGCAAGAGATTGAGAAAAGGAAGCTACAGAATCTAGGCTAATTTATCTGATAGCTTTTCCTGCTTTTACTCTTTTTGCCTTTTCCCCCTACTCTAAGAAGTACATATTCAACTGAAAAGCCATGAAAATTGCAGCTTTTATCCCTCCTTGATGTAACAAACTGCTTTCAGAAACCTTACAGGATAGTCACTAAAGGAAGTCACAGTTCAAATGAGAGTGGCATGATATTAATTTTGTTAAAATAAATTACTTTCAAATAAAAGTTGTGCCAAATGGTCAAAGCTCAATCCTGGGAGCTCTATTTGGCACACACTGTTATTCTTTCTGTGTTAGTTGAAAGTGATTTAAGCAAAACAAAACCGTTTTTCGTGTACTCTTCCATAATTTGGATTTTTCACCGATTTACGTATCTTTCCTCCAAATTTGGTTTGAAACTGCACAGATTTAATGCCTCAGCACAGATTTTAGGTAAAATTTGAAATTTTCATTTTATGAAACAGAAGCTAATATCACTATTAAGTAGATTAAAGTAGTCATTTACCATGGTTTGTAAATAAATTGTATCCTTCCCGGTCCTCTGCCCCCTTCCAGGAAAGGCACCATTTCCTTAGAGAAGACCTTCCTGAGTGCTCCCCGTCCCATTCTAAGTGTAGCGTCTGGGAGTTTCTCATATTCTGTGCATGTTTGTATTATTGCATTTACTGCGTTTATAGTTATCTGCTTGTGTCTGTTTTTACACTCCCCCCTCCCTCTAAAAGTATTTTGAGTGTTAGAATTGTGTTAATATTTTCCTAGTCCCAATGCTTTACGCAGGACCTGGCCCATAAGTGATGATGAATGGGTGAGTTAAAGACTCAGTATGCCTTCCAAGTCTGATAAGACAGTGCAACCTCTTTAGTTATTTTATAGCATTTTCCATGTGGAAGTATAGTGGGCTATGTGCAGTATGGACAGGAACCACCTATGTAACAATTTGTCTGAAGAGGAGAAGCCTGCAGTTGATGTGGATGCCCTAGGCTTTTGGAGCTAGTGTCTGAATGAGAGCACCCAACTCTACTCTGAAGTAATGTGTCTTCAGTCAGCTGATAGTAATTTGATTTTCTGTGTAGCTAGTCCTGAGAGAGTAAGAACATTATATGTGAATCTTCTAGTTGTCTTAGCATTCATAATCTCAAAGTAAATTTACAGATTGACATTCTAGTTATCAGGCCTTCTAATTTAGCTTTCCCAAAGTCCGCATATATCTGTTTGAAGTGATTAAAATTGGGTTCTGTTCTTACAAAGTTAAAGACTAACCCAAGATCTGGGCGTTAGGAAGAGGCAAGCAGCCATGCCTGCCAACCTGCTGGACTCTTAACATTGTCTCTACTTAGAATTTTGTTTTTTTAGTCTGAAAAGTACGTAAACCATACAGGAAACAAAGAACTAATTCAAGCAAAAACTTGAAATCCTCCTTTGATTTTTAGCATAAATTGGGTAGCTAAAAATCCAAGTTTGTATTAAATAATTATTTTTAAAGAATTAAAGCTTAAACATTAACAGATGCCCCAGAATCCTCTTTGGTGATAGAATCAGGATTCCCTAATACTGTGGTTCTCAAACCTGAGTGTGCGTCCGAATCCCTGAGAGTATGTTAAAACAGATTCCTGGATCCCACCCAGTTTCTGATTCTGCAGGACTAGGATGGGACCTGATATTTGCATTTCTCATGAATGTTGTTGCTGCTTTGAAAACCACTGCCCTAAGAGTTCTTTCTCTCCTTCCTACCCTATCCCTTTCCTCTTTTCCAAAACTAGATCCTGATCTGTCACTTAGTGTTCAGAGCCCATTCTTAAATAAGAGCTTATAGGAAATACTCAAAAGACTCATAGGACTCAGTTGTTCGTTCTTATTCTTAAACAGAACAAGAAAATATATTTTTAATTTTTTCCAATGATTTGTATAAGAAGTCATCATCTTAGAGCAATAATTTTGTTTAATGGATAGCAGAATTATTAACTGAATATATTTTTATGTATATAGGCATTTTCCTCTAGAAATATGAATTGGCTACCATTATGGGAGAGAGGAGAGTTGCTGGAAAAAGAAAAAGTCACATTCCCTCTCATTTCTCCTCTATTGCTCTCTCATTGTTTCTCCATGCCCCAGAACGCTGTCTTCAAAAAGTCAGTATTAATTCATAAAAAGACAATTCCCACAGCACAATATAACTTTATTATACTCACTTTAGTTTTTTATTTTGAAGAGAGAAATGCTACTTCCATCAAAACTTGTGTTTTTATTGGTTAACAAGTGCTAACTTTGTCTTCAAATGGTAAAAATAAACAACTAGCTACTTTTTAATTCTGATGAATTAAAAGTATTTTTCTAGAGAAAAATTTGTGAAATTAGATTATACATTTGTACTTTTTAAACTCTAGCCTTGGCAAAATTGTCTACTACCTTGTATTTTTTAAGACCTTCAGACATTGACTCCTTATTGTGATAATTCTGAGTTTTTCAACAAAGTTTTTCAAAATTTGTTTTCAAATAAAGTGTTGTATTTAACTGCATGTTTGAGCAATATGTTATCCGACATTAGGTGGAAAAAAGAATTATGCCATTTTTTAATATACTCTGACATAATAATAGTTGCAACTTTTTTTTTTTTTTTTTTTTTGAGACAGAGTCTTGCTCTGTCACCCAGGCTTGAGTGTAGTGGCGCGATCTCAGCTCACTGCAATCACTGCAAGCTCCACCTCCCGGGTTCTCGCCATTCTCCTGCCTCAGCCTCCCAAGTAGCTGGGACTACAGGCGCCCGCCACCACGCCTGGCTAATTTTTTTGTATTTTTAGTAGAGACGGGTTTCACCGTGTTAGCCAGGATGGTCTCGATCTCCTGACCTCGTGATCCATCCACCTCGGCCTCCCAAAGTGCTGGGATTACAGCCGTGAGCCACTGTGCCGGGCCAATAGTTGCAACTTTAATGAATTTTTTACTTGCTAAATGTGGCTAAATCCCTTATGCGTATTATTTTACTTAAGCTTCACAAAAATTCTATGATAAAGATAGCCCCTACTTTCATAAGTGATGTATCCCTCAAAACATGTACACAAAGTCAGATGTGGGATTCCACATCCAGAGCGCTTAAACATCATTATTAGGTTCTAAATTAGATTTCACCTTTTAGAAAAGTCTTATTGAATATTTCTAGCATTTTGTCTGTGTCTTTCCACCATTTTATCTTAAATGTGCTGTCCAGGTAACTTCAGTCCAATGAGCATCAGATACAGACCAAATAGCAATATAGATGTCGTTTTCTCATTTGTATTTCATTTCATATTCTTTATTACTAGTATTAGAATTGTAATTTTTCTTTTTTATAAATAAAGACAAAATTCAATAAAATATTCACTAATTTCATTGACTAATTTGTACTCCTGTCTAGCAGATTAGCATTGTGTTAGCTCAGAGTATTCTTTCGGTTAATGAAAACTTAAGATTCAGAATTAAAAGGCAGTTTGGAGTGGGGACAGAATGTTTATATATATCCACATGTTTCTGCTGTAATGCCATACTTGCATTCCTGGAAATCCTGACATGCTGCCAAACAATAAGCAAAAGTAACAGTTTGTGGAGAAAAAACACCCAAAACTGAACAAACTTTTATAAGAGCCCTAACAAAAACCCTAACCCTAATAAACATACTAGTACAATTAAATCTAGTTTAGACCAGTTTTGTCAAGATTAATGTTCTAATCTAGGAGTAGCTTTATTTATCTATCCATTTTTTTTAAAGACTTAGAAATCTCTAGCTTTTTCATTTATCCTAGCACATTGCCAGATGGTTTGATAAAGTGGAAAATGTAGCCAGACATGAACCCACTAAACATCTGCTTCTTAAACCAAAAAAAAGAACTACCAAGAGATTTTTTTTTTCCTGAAGGTCTTTACATATCACTAAAGCCTTTTTTTTTTTTCTTCTAAATTGTAGAAAGCCTACCTCTGATCACTTCAAATCAGTAATATGTTGGGGGAAAAATGCATATATAATGTCTTTCCCCTGTTGACCAATTGCACATAAGCTGATTCACATTAAATAAACGTTTTGAGGCTGGACACAGTGGCTCAGGCTTGTCATCTCAGCACTTTGGGAGGCTGAGGAAGGATGATCACCTGAGGTCAGGAGTTTGAGACCAGTGTGGCCAACATGGAGAAACCCCATCTCTACTAAAAATATAAAAATTAGGTGGACGTGGTGGCAAGTGAGTGTAATCCCAGCTACTCGGGAAGCTGAGGCACGAGAATCACTTGAACCTGGGAGGCAGGGGTTACAGTAAGCCAAGATCATGCCACTGCACTACAGCGTGGGCAACAGAGCAAGACTCTGTCTCAAGAAAAAAAAAAAGAAGAAATGTTTTGGTGTTACGACAGACTTTCCTTAACCATTTGTGTTATTTAAGAGATGAGGAAACAGACTCCAGAAGGTAACGTAACTTGCCCTTGCTCACACAGTCACTGAAGATGTCAAGATTTGAATACAGATCTCAAGCTCCCTGCCTTCCTTTCCAAACCATGGTGCAAACTACCTACTTTGACAGTCCCATTAACTGTGTTTAGATCAGCACAGTCCAATAAAAATAGAATGTAAGCCTTGGATATAGTTTAAAATTTTCCAAAAACTAGATGTTTTACTTTTTTAAAAAAGTAAAAGTGAAATTAATTTTAATGAATTATAATTTCAACACA